TCCCAGAGCTCCCCATTGCCGGCTGGGGAATTCTGAACCTGCCGAGGTTGAGGGACGCTGGTGGGGCCTCCTGCACGCCGGCGCTCGGCCCCCTCGCCTCCACGCGCTCCTGCGAGCCGGACAGCCGGGGCGGCTCCCGTCATTAGGGCGTTAATTGCACAAAATGAGCCCTGAAGGGCTCTCTGGGTGCGCTGGACAGAGCGAAGGACGGAAGTGCTCTGTGCTACCCAAGAAGATGCCAAGGCCACAGTTACACCAACGTGAAGAAAAGGAAGGTTTAATTTAATGTGACCTTGCGGTGGAAGCCTTGGGAAAAACCCAAAGTCGCAAACACTGGGGTAGGATTTTATAGGTTGATCATACAAACAGTATGTGACCCAAAACCATGTTTCTTGCTTGCAGTCCCTATTTACAGGACATCATGACCAGTGTAATGTTTGCGGATTCTGTGACGGCTAATCCTGGTTTGTGCTACAGATGTAAATAGCTTGCTTCCAAGTCCCCCAAAATCAGCGTCTTCCCCTCCCAGCAATGGGGTTTGGGTGGGCTTTTAGGGGAACGTTTAATGCCGGTTGACACAGTCACCATCGGTGGCCAATACAAGGTCTCCACACCACTCCTCACCAAGTCCCTGTGGAGAGACTTCGTTTGTCCTCCAGCCACACTGCTGCTTACATCGAAAGTGACCTGCCTTCTCCTCTGGCTTTGCTTTTGCCTTCGCACCCCTTCCTCTTGAGGAACTCCAAGAAAAGTCTCCTTACTTTCCTTATATTCTGTTTTTTCTCCAAAGCTGTTTTCAGCTGACTTGTGGTAGAAATTCAGATTTACCTCTTTACTGACTTTTGCATTACCAGTTTACTGGCATTTTAAGTAGACTAAGGAGAGAGCCAGTTTGGTGTCGTGGTTAAGGCACCAGGCTACAAACCGTGAGGCTGTGAGTTCTAGTTCCGCCTTAGGCACAAAGCTGGCTGGGTGACCTTGGGCCAGTCACTTTGTCTCAGCCCTAGGAAGCAGGCAATGGCAAGCCACTTCTGAAAATCTTGCCAAGAAAACTGCAAGAACTTGTCCGGGCAGTTGCCAGGAGAGTTGACCCTGACTCGAAGGCATGCACCCACATAGACTAAGAATCCACCGGCTGCATAATCTTTCTAGATTACAATTTTTCTTTAGTTCATTGACACCATGAACTTTGAATTACGGATGCGTATCAAATACTATAATTGGGACATGCTGCACGTAGCATCACAACTCCCTCAAGTAAGTGGCACCTGAGCATAACACTGTTGTGTAATTCTCAGTTGAGGCCTTACCCAGAAAAGAAAGATTTCTTACTAAGGTACAACAATACTATAAATGTCAGCTGGAAAGAAAATCTCCACAAGCTTTATTGAGTATATTGCAAACTTGGTAGAGCTCATGTTTTCCGTAATTCCTTAAAAATAGGACTGCTGTCCCTTTCACGAAAAATGTTAGCCTGGTTCCATGCCTATTATCCAAAAACCACTTTTGTCCTGCCAGGCTGCTGTTTCCTCTACCTAACCTTCAGCTTTCAGCCCCTTGGATTTTGAGCAGGCTCGGTTCAGCGTGCCGCTTTGCAGCTGGCATGAGGGTTGGTTGGCCGAAAGCAGCGCCTGACGAAAGGGGAACCCGGTCACAACTTGCACTTCGGCCGAAGCCGAGTCCGGGATGAAGCTCGCTATCTCCGGATCTCATCAGAAGGTCCCCCTCCTGGATTTCGTGACCGAGGGAGGTGACCTTGGCTTGGCGCGGAGCCCTCTGGAAGTCTCCATTGCACGTGGGCAGCTGGTGCAATGTTAGTTTATGAATCAGCTCCAGCTGGAGTTTGAGACAACTCTGTATGTAGAAATTGTGCATCAGCACTTGGGGGGAGGAATTTGCCTAGTGCAGTGTTTCTCAACCTCGGGCACTTTAAGAGGCGTGGACTTCAACTC